ATACATAAGCTTAGATGATGACGATCTGAATTTCGTTTCCGTATCAAAATCAAGTAGTTGTGAATTTTAAATACTGTAAACTAATAAAATTTATGAGTATCTGGAATTTAGCCGTAAACGTGCTTAGTACCCTATATGGTATTAATTAATTGAGCATAATTAATTCTGTTCCATGTAATTACTAATTGATGAACTACATAGAGCTAAAGATTAATAGGAATGATAGCAATGGGTTAGTATCGTGATTAAAAGTTTTTCTCCTTTGAGACCATAATCACTTTTGCAAAATCACAATTAGATGCTAGGCTTTCCGCAGTATTCTAATTGGCTACTGGTATAATAGCGTTTGATTATTATTTATTTTCTTTATCCTTTTATACAGTCACTAGCTAATACAAGGGATAGTTTCCAATTCAAAGTATTTTAAAATTTATATCGTTTCTACCGTATGAGCATTTACAATACATCTATTAATGTATCAGACTACAGTTTAAAATATGTTAATTAGAGAAAAACTTCTGCGGTTTATAGTTCTATTATTTCGATGTAATATGTACAATACGGACTTGAAATATTGCGTGTAAGGGCTAAAGTCTTCATAAGTAGTTGTTCTTATGTTGGTTATACACAGGACCAGATATTAAAGAATGAGAATAACATTGAAAGTATAGAAAGGCAAATTTACAATATTTGAAATGTTAGCAGAATAGCAATAATTCTCTCGTTACTTTAGTTATTTTTATGCTCGACTTTGATATGTACGTAAAGTAAAACCATAAGACGTGAATTCCATTCCATACTTGCAGAAATAATAACCTTGCGTTATTACGCAGGTTGTAATAACGTTGTCAACATGATAGAGTTATTTATAGTTAGCAATAACAAATTCAAGTATGGTCATCTTATTACTGCAAAGGATGCAACAGTTTTAATTTCGCAGGGAACTATAGTAATCGTAGAATTTCGTTCTTACACTGAGTCTAGTAGGCTAATCGATATTATTCGATAGTTCTTATTCGTATATGATCTTTGGCTCACAAATAAGCTAAGAATATAAGCAGTGAAGGTAACATAATAGAGATTTTCTTCTTTGTACTTGAAATGATGGTCTGCAGTTGGAAAGATTTTGGTTAACGAAAATTCGGAATTAAGGCGTTTCACTACCAATCGTTTTGGGTTTGAATTTTTGGAGAATTTTATGAAGCAGCTTTATTACAGCGGCTATCAAGCACTGAAATCACATGACAAACAATATGCAAATTCTGTAAGATAACATGGTCCGGTATGAATATATTTTGATCTTACAAAGTTAAATTTTTTTGGCAAACCGTAAAAAATGTAATATTGACATCTATTAGGAAAGAATTTATTAAAATTTATAATTGATAATAAATAAGATTATAACAACTTTTTTTGTAGTTAGGCTGTGTATATCACGAGAGTCTACAATCCAGATAGCGCTGCCAATCGCGTATAGGAAATCTTTAACAATTTCTTCCATCAGAATAAAAATCTTTGTTCAGATTAATTAATATACCTACCAATTTTCGCTATTTGCCAGTAAGCAAAGGTCAAGGTCTCGTAGACTGTAGTTAGTGTACAGATTGAGGGATTTTAGAATAGAAATGTTTATCAATTACAGCTAGACATGAGTTTGATTCTTCTCCTGTCACCATGGCTAGCAAATATTAGTATAAATAAATAGAAATGCCCTACCCACACTTTTAATTAAACTCCAGGCAGGTGGGAACTACATTGTAAATAACGTTGTTATGTGATAGCTGTAAATCAAATTCTTGAATTCTTCAAGCTATGGTTTCGATTTTGAAATAAAGCAATTTATTAAAGAAATGGTCTATAATTAGAACATTTTACGTAGTAATACTGACTATTATAATTATATGTCAAATCATTGTTTATTTATAATATTGTCACAAACCAGCTTCGTGACAAGGATAACGTAAAACAAATCTCTAAATCTCTATAGTCTCCGGGATTCAGTATCCCTACTCACAAGAATTTAGACGCCTTTGGTTCTACGTTAAAACAACTATACAATTGAGAACTGCTTTATTCAACTATCTGACGGGCTTATATACCCTTCTACAGCAGCTAACATTCACAAATCATCTTATAAAAATACTTAGGTGAGATAACTAGTTTTTCACAGCCGGACTACAATATGCCCATTCACAGAATCATTTCAGTGCACATTACAGCACAGCATTAAATTTACTGTAATACATTTATAATTAGAGTAATTCCTATAGTAAATAGCTAGTTGTAATATAATATCACTATATTATATTAACCAAATTTAGATAGCTATTTCTTCACGGTAGTTCGTACCGTAACAAATATATATAACATCATAGCTGTGACGTAAGTTTCATTGGTATGAGAATGAGATATCGATCTATACGGTTATATTAATCGATTATTTAAAAAAATTAGAACTTTTAGATGTGCAATCTATTCACTCAGTAGGTAATTATAACACATGTTTTTATAAAATATTGTTCTGCACAAGGAAGCACAGTGTTGAGTATAAACATGCAACTAACAATTACTTTCAAATTTACTTTTACTAATTGACTATAATTTAAGGAAATGAGCACTTTTAGGCATACTAATCGTGAATCGATGTATTAAATATACAATTATAATGGAAAGGAATATACGATACTTTATGTGTTATTCTTCTTCGTTGTCTATCCCGTTGTGAAAGCACCTTTTCAAGGAAACGACACTAATAATAATTTCAGATCTCTTTTAAATCTTTACGGAACGATCAATTTAATTTCTGATTTTCTTGTATGATATCTGAAAGCCAAGTTGATTAGTCATTGTTTATAGAAGCGAGATCCAAGTATATTTCTAAAAGCTGCGAATCGTGAATTCTATAGAAAATTCTGAGACGACAAAGTCTACAGTAAAATTAATTATGATAAAACTGAGATTTCTATAATAATTTCCCTCTTATGCAAATAGACAATACTGATATCCTTTAAGCATTGAAAATCGATATTCTTTACACATATCAATTTATAGATATTATTACGCCCTTTTAAAATTGATTGTTTTGACCAGGCGATATTATTAGTTGTCGATAGCGCCTAAAGTTTACGATCATGTTCAGATATCATTAAGTTAAGATTTTAAAATTTTGATTAATATGCTGTTCTTATTATTGCGAACTGTAAAAGTCAATCAAGATATCAATATTAAATAATAAATTTATCGTCATGGCTATCTTAAGAATTTACTTAAGTTACATGATCTTTCCGCAGTAGTTACTGATAATACATTTGTAAAAGCTGTATTCATTCGCGACTGATTAGCCAGTAAAGACTGGTTAGTTTTCATGAGTAGTATACGGTTCTAGACTTTCAGTCATAATCAATAGCATAGGGGTATGCGGTTGAAATATCCGTAGCTGTTTGGCAAACAGTTAGATATTCACTAATCCGGTCGATTTCGAAGACAACTTAAAACATAAATATGGCTCATTTGATCTTTTCCGTTAGATTGAATTTTACATTGCTGCCTACATAATAACAACCATTTCAGACGTAATCACTTCTATAGTAAACAGTCAGATAAATTCTCATAACAATGTAGTATCACTTCGGATATACTATGTAACGGTTCGCATAATTTATTGAGAGTGCAATTCTATGACTCATAACTTCAAAGGTCAGAATTTATATTCTAGAATGCTTTTTATGTGATAAAACCGCAGAGTTTATCAAACGAAGCGAGAAAGCCAACAGAAATTTTCATAAAAAATCATCCTTTTTATTTTAGTTATAACTAGAAATTAAAGAAGCAGGTGAAAATAGGTGTATCCACCTTATGAACAGAAACAATCACTGAAATACTGTAATTGTGGATAAATTAACTAAGCATTAAATAATGATAATACATTCGATAAAATACCTATCGCTAACAACAATTGCACTTAGTAATTTAACGCTAGAGTTGATATAGACATTACAGACAAAACGAATATGAATATTATTGAAAAGCGGAGCTATTATTGTATCTCAACTAAATATGCTAATGGTCAATTCGATGATTAATCCAACCAAAGCTAAAATCTAATTTTAAAACTAAATGGTGCTCAGACTATAAAATCTTCAAATTAGGCAAAAGATGTAATAAAAATCATAACTATTTTGGATGGAACAAATTTATTGTTATTATAGAGGGCATTTAAAGAAGCTGAATAAAGTCAGTGTTCCTATAATTTAAATAAATACAATCACTGAAATGCTCAAATTTTCAGTAAATTAAGTAAACTTTCGCTAAAAGATAAAACATCTACTAAGATATCTATCTATAGCAGTAACTACCGTACCTCGTAGTACATTGCCACTAAAAATTTGTAGTAGCAAGGATAGGAATTCTCACCGTCCTGAAGCAGTGACATTTTTATATAAAAAAATCGAGGAAGTCATTGAGTATTTATTACTTTGGTAAGTGATAGGTACAAGAACTACATGACTAAATCTTATAAATTCTCTATTCAAACTAACCGACGAGCTAAATAGTAGTCGCTTTATTACAGTCCAATTACGAAATCCAGTCAATTCGCGAAATGCCCAGTCAATTTGTGAAATGCCCAGATATATTTCTTTACTGATTATAATAATCTCTATTCTCGCAGTAAATTTATTAGTAGATTTGCGAAGTCCATTAAGAAATATTATAACTCGAATACGAGACATGATGGAATGCATATTTGTGGTTATTGAAGAAATTTACGACATTCTAAGCAGTATCTGCTTCAATACAATGCAGTAAAAAGTTCAAATGAACAAGTAATACCAACTTATTCAATTACTGTGGCAATAAGGTTTTTAATAACTTGTCTAGTAATCAGTTACACTGAGTTATATTATAGGCCACCATTGAGTGAGAATAACCTAACATCTGAAATAAATTTTGAAAGATTCTATCCGTATTACTCATTAGCTCTGATACGAATGGTTTCCCTCTTAGCTGCGCATCGAAATTAATACCGAAGAGCTGTTAGCAGTTGAATTAGGAAACGTTGAGCGTAATCTTGAGAAAAGATGGCGACACTGTTGTTGGTAGCGATAATTTACGGTCATATAAATTATAGGATTGACGACTGAATTTATCATGATTAAGATAACGAAAAAGAAGCGAGGAAAATGTTGCAGCTGTAAAACTTTAAAATTAATTAGAGTAAAGTATATCTGATTAGGTGCCCAACATATAAAGTAAACCAAGGTAGTAATAAAGGCCATGATAGTCACTTGGCGCATCATAAATGCACTTTGATCACCATGTACTTGAGAATTTTCGTTTGCGACAATTTTTTGATGAGAGATTTTGAAAGCTCTGACAATTAAACCGTAACAAATGAATGATATTCCCAGTGGTAGAACAAATTTCATCATGAAGAGAATAAAGTAGATAGCACGATTAAATGCAATACCCCCAGGCAAGTCCCGCCAATTACAAAATCCACGAGGATCGTAGTGACTTTGGTATAAATTCGGAGCATTGACTACAAACCCAAGGATAAAGGCTACTGCAATCATAAAATTAGTCAAGCGCGGTTTAAAGACAACTTTGTACCGAAAAGGTTTTATAGCCATGAAGCAACGCTCAATGTTGAGGCCAGTAATAAGATAAACCGATATAATACCCAAAGAGTAAAAGAAGTAATCGGAATACAGAATACTACATAGGACATCAGTAGTTGTGCCAGGCGTAAGTTGGAAAACACCATCTAAAATACTTCGTGGCGAAATAAAGACAATTACGCCTGTTAATGCATCCACGAAGGCCAATGACAAGACAAATTTACTGGATGCTTGCTGGTATAAACTTTTACTAGATAGAAATATTGCAATTACAAATGTATTGCCAAGTATGGATAATGTAGCAAATATCCCATGCAATACTTTAATTAAGAGTGGATCGATAGTAGGGCCAGGTTGCCAGCCTGGGGTAGGTGTGGAAGTATTAAACATGGATACGGTTGCGTTCATGATGGCTTAGAAGAAATTCTCAAGCAACAATAACTGGGTAGAAAATTTTCTGACCAAGTCCAGATAATGATCAGAACTAGATTACCTAGAGGAAAGAGAGGAAGATTGTTCGTGTCGTTTTATCAGCTGGAATAAGTTGTGGTACTGCAAGGGTTAATTACTGGTTAAAACTGGAGCGCTGTGGCTTAAATACCATTCATGATCTCATTGTTGATGTAAAGCCTTTTCGCACCTGCTTTATACTTGTCAATCAATTATGACAAAGTCAATATAATTACGGAGTTGATATTAGTATTGGCACGATATAGCATTATAGGAGTAGGAAATTAATATCGATAGCTTGATATGTTGTCCTCATGACTATTTATATTTTCGTAATAGTAGTTATTCAATTCTGGCCAATCAACCTCCAAAGCATATTCCTGTTTGGACAATAAGAACAAGGCTTAGTATCCTAATATGCTCTTAGAGTATGGCTCCTTTTCATTTCTTTTACGACAACAACCAGTTTTAACAATTATGAGAATAATATGATTAGTGAACACATCAATAATAAAAAGTTATAAAATCAAAGCTACCGCTCCATGAAAATGCTTTCAATAATATTTATCTACATAACTACAGCCGATGATATAATATATATACTATCGATAATATGTTATCTAACTAAGAGATTTACTAGTAAATAATGATACTGTAATACCGACTACAAAATAATTCAAATCAGGTTCAAGAGATTTATAGAATAAAATCAATGCATGGTTGTAGTGATGCACCCTAGATTTGCTTGTGTTGCGTACTATATTTAGAATAGTTAAGTTTCTAAAAATAGATATTCTTGTGCTGCTAGATTTAGGTGACTGGTAACTACTATATTAGAAAGTGTTATTCACTAATATAGCTGTTAACTAATTATGGTACAGGACGTTATACGACTTGAAATACTAAGATTGTAAAGATGCCCAATACCTTACGGTGTTGGACATTAATGGTAAAGTAATAATATTGTAGCAGTTTGATTAATACTGTAAAATGTAGTGATGATTCATGTCTGATTGTAGACGATGTTATTGCCTTAAATAGATTCAGAGAAAAGTATATAAGGTGTACAAATCTGAGCGTAAAGGAGGAGAAAAGATTTGATATCTAATTGAGCTCAGATTACTTTAGACTAGATTCTTGTGAGTAATTAATTATTGCTGTACTATTCTTTAGAACCTTGTAATAAAAAGCTTTTATAGTACTGGATTCCTCTGTGGACTAAAATTACTGTGGAAACGATATTACAATGGTATATAACATTGTCATTATTTTTGATGTAAGTGCAGAATACTAATATCAAATCATTTCGATGCTATTGTACATGCCTTAAGCTTTATATGCAGCAGAATTTTTACCAGTTTCTCTAGTACTTATAAATAAATTATCATCTTCGAAAAAAAATGTAAATAATTCATAAATAGAATGAAATGTCGTAAATAATGGCCTTTTGTCGACATTTGAAGATCATCACAACTGTGATTTATCTAATTACATTGATGCTAATATGGTTATTATTGAGTTTCGTACGGATACGTTAAATAAAGTTTAACGTTAGCATACTATTTTTTAAAACTCTTAAGGTGGGCTAACATGTATTAACATAACAATATTTCTTCGCATTGTCAAATTTAGATTATACTGTACAAAAAATTTCATTAAAATGATTGATTATTATTAATTAAAATTCTAGTGAGGCAAAGAAATACATGTAAACAATTCTTGAAGATAATCTGTATGCGATTCGGGGATTTATTAGGATAACAGATCGAAATTATCATTATCACAAAGAAATATTTTAATTTATCCTAAGAGAAGGGTGTTATCATTATTTCGCAAAAAAATGCATTCATTTAAACGGTTAGTTTTCGAAGTACAGGAAAATTTCTAATTGTTTACAATATCTTGGTCTGTTAAGCTGTACAGGCTAGGAATAGAAAATGATTGATTAATATTTGCAGAGTCCGAATAATTTTTAGTATCGCTTAGGCTCAATTACTCTTGCATAAGTCCTGCTAAAATAATATTTGAACAGTAATCAGGTGCAATATGTATATTCATTAAACGTCTTAATTATCAAGAATAGCAGAAAAAGTAGTCATCATCATTATCGCTCGTAAGCATATATTAGAAGCTAGTTTTGCGATCGCTTAGGAATAATAGTAGGCCATGTAATTTTTATCAACATTAAGATCTGATAATAGCGTGAATTTAATTACGCTATATTTTCGGAGTCTGGATAGTTTCTCACTATTACTTTAGTTGTATCTCCGCTGTATAATCTTACTAAGAGTTTATTTGGGCGTTAATAAAGAACAGATAAAAATTTATTTGTCTCATTCGACACACTAATTACTGGAAAATTAAGCTGGAGTCAGAAGATATTGCTGATTAATCTTGTGTAAAGTAATATTCGGCATGAGAATAATTAATTTATTATTACGATAATGCCAATCAATACTAATTACGAGGATTTCGATTTTTTTAATTTAAATTTAAGTCAATTTAATACATAATTTTCTTATGGCACATTAATTAGAAAGAATCCAAAGGCGATAATTATTGAAAATTACGCTAGAATTAGAATATACAGCTGTCTAACCTTGTATAAAATGAGGATATTCTGCATAAGAATAGTTAATCTTCGATTACAAAAACACCAACCAATACATTAATTATGAGGACTTAGCTTCTAAATTTGAATATTTCGTTTATAATTTTGCTTTTGATATGTTAATTAATACTACAGAATACCTTAATAAGTAAACAGCAGCCTTAATCGGAGATCTAGTAAATATATACCAACAGTGATTGAAAAATTAGTTAGTATTACGAAAGCAAGATAATCAAATAACAGCACAAACTGCTCTTAAAAATTTGCAATCTTAATTAATTAAGCCAATACGATAACTTTTGCAGATTATTCGCTATGTCACATTACCCTGTGGGTAGTCCAAATATCATATTTCTAGCCCTATAAATAAAGTGTAATAAAATCTCAACATTACATCGCGTTTCAAAATCTTCAATCTATCAAATAAGACATTCAAAATTATCGAATTATTGTACTCTTGCCCCGAGATTAGAATCCTAAATTTAAACTCGTTAGACTTAAAACGGTAATTTTTTACAAAAATTTAGCTTTTAAAATATCGCTATCTGAGTCAACATAAATGTTGGCATTTAATCTTACATGAATTTTTTAATATGAGATCGAATATTCTAGATTGATATGATATAAAAGTTTGTCAAAATTGCGGTAGAATCATGTGACTTCATCTCATAGAAATGTTGCAATTTACAGAGCTGGGCTAAACTTTCAGTATGTCCTAATTGAGATATTTTGTACGTGTTGGCATCACATAAGTAGATAATCTAGTAAAAGTATTATTCTGCTTCCAACTGTCCTTATGGGCTCTTTTTTAATATTTCATTTTATGATATATTCAATGTAATTGGATTATACTATTTTTGATAGTGTTTACTTCAATATCTTTCTAAATCGAGATAATTTGAAAAATAAATAGGATTTACGATTCGACAGAAAATTTTTTACGTAAACAATGCCCACTAGCGTTGGCTGAGGATCCTAAACGAAAGCATGATTCTTTTGGATAGCAAGAACACCATGAAAATCAGACCTGAAGTGATCTAAGGAACTATTTATATCCTTAGGATATTACTAAGTATGCTCATAGTTCCTCAAAATTTTGTCTTTTTCAAGCATTACTCAACTGTTCGATGCTTTAAATTTATTAGATAATATTAATAAACATATCTACAAAAGATTTAAAGTGTACTTTAGGTAAAATTTATGGGGTTAAATACTTACTATGGAAAAATCTACTGTACCATAAACTGAGGTATAGACTGAAGTTTTGTTAACGGAGAAGTAACTTAATGAGCATCCTTTAAGTAATAACTATTATGGTGTATGTCTCGCTTTCCTTTCTACTATAAAGCTCAAACATGAACGATATTTTCTATATCCTTAAATCCTAGTAAGGCCTCTTAATTTTTATTAAGTCAATATAATATAGTATGATAAAATATAGTTTATGTTAAGTTAAAATAACAAACATATTATTAGTGATTCTTGCTTGAAGTTATTTCAGTGACATTTATACCGATCAATTAGATGGCTTTGGAAGCCTAGGTCACAGAAATTACAGTTATTTTTATGATCAGAAATGTAGCTTAACCGCCACACAAATGCTCTCTTTATATCCAGCATGCCATTGCACATCTAGAGTAGGTCATCAAGTACGCCAATTAACAAAATCCTACCTATATTGTTTAAAAAAATGCAAACTGTAAGGCACTAGCATTAATTGAATATAGAATCGGAAATTTTCACTTCAAGGGTTAGTAGCTACGATAATATTTTAGAGATGTGATTACTTAGCGCATTATGACGATAATTCTTTCCTATTTCTAACAATTTTGTACACCAAATCTAAATTATTTACTATTTAATTTCCATGGAATACTAAGACGGCTGCAATATAAATTAATCATCGGGTCAATCCATATTTATTAATAAACAATAACATTCATTGAAAGCATCGCATTAATTTAATCAGACAGGATTATCATCCGTGAAGTTGAGATAATTATTGTTTAAAAGCTGGATCACCTTATTACCTTGCATGCATAAATAATGTCTTTTATCTTAATGGTTATTTATTGGAACTAGCTCAAGCGACAATATCGCTTTTTTTATTCTCTGCAGCTGGCGCTATTCTATTCTTATCTGTTAAGTTGATCACAAACATAGCAATCGGGTAATTTTATCATTAATTTGATTTGAATTTAATTAAAATGCTGAATTTTAATGTTGAATAATTCTATCTGTCTTAAATCTTAGATATAAGCCTGATAATCTCGTTAAGATTTAGTACTTACCGTACGAATATGTGTTAATTCAGATTCTCTTCTAAAGACTAAGTCGATTTTAAATA